TTATTTACAAGTTGCTGAATTATTATTTCTATTTCTGATTCCAATTCGCCGAATTTGTTGATACATTATTCATATTTCGCAAGCTTCCCCTAAAAGATTCTCCTCTCTCTATAGTGGGTTACTACCACTAGATACGCTACAGTTTAAAGCTACTTGAGGTGTCTCATACTATTTATTGCATAGTAAGCTGCTAGCAATTCCGTTAGGTTGGTCATGGAGGGACCGTCATACTATTTCAATGGAGTTCGGCGTATTTACGAAGTAGATCCAGGCATTGACACCATCTGGTTGGGATCTGAAGCTATACATTTAGATTCTATCTATCAGTCTAGCATCACCCCGATATCTCTAATGAGATCTTGTGGAGTTAGATCTCATGCTACCCAGAAGGGGTAGTCCCCTAGCATATAAAGCGACTGTTCATTTACCAGGCTCTCGGCTTATCAAGCTTTCCTCGCGAGCTAGACCCTACCTAAACCTAAAGCTCTGTTTTCATTTGGAGCTATGATACTAGAAACCTAGAAGGACCGATAGCCTTATGAGATCTATTATAAGGTATAGCCTAATAGTCGGATTAGGTTACCGCGATAGTTGTGTGTAGAGGTATGAAAAGCAAGCCTGGTACGTTCGACTTGTTTGAACCTTACATGCTAACACGTCCCCTATGGTACATTCGCAGTACGGATTGTTAACGTCCTCGACGACAGCAGGACTCGTCACTAAGTCTCAAATTAGTCTTCTGAGTCCGCTCAACGGTTTGACGACAAGTAGAATAATTATGAAGACAGTATGACCTGTAAAAGCAGGCCCTTGAAGGCAAAAGAAGGGAAAGGACTAGATATTGACTGGTCTAGCAGCATTTTGGCGCTTGTGATCCAAAATTACCCTCTAAATTTTGGTGTCTTCGGAGGCATCTCTCCAGGCATCTCTCCATATCTTGCCTGCTTTGCTGACGTTGTAACAATTTAACGACCACTGGTTTTCTGAAACCAAAAAAAAAACATAACGCATTTTACTCTTCTCCGATACCATGTGCCGGCAGTGGTTCAAACTCTCTTGACTCGAGCTCGAGGACCCTAAGTTCCGCCGGTCCCTCATGGCATCTCGCTCCTTTTACGCGCCCATAAATAAGGATGCGACGACCATTGGGAAGAGAGAAAAGGACGCATGCTGCTTTTATAGCGCGAAAGTCTTTCCCGTCTTCCTTAACGCTGGTTGACTTCGAGTCTTATTATTAGCATTGGCGCCAAAAGTATCTTCAGATCGCCCTAAATAGGCGCGTACGAATAGTGTCCGGTAGATCGGCTCAGGGCTGCGGTGGATCCTAACAACCCTAACATCCCTAACATCCTGATATCTTATGTTGTTCACTAATACCGGTCTAGTGATCAGAGTTTAAGGCGTGATCCCTATTAGTCTTCTTCGTGTCTCCCTACTTGCTCAATCTTTACCCGCAAAACTCGAAGTCTGAGCCTTCTAACCCATGGTCTTAGTCCTAGGTTATTGGCTCGATGGCACCACTTGTCCTGTGGGTCTCCATTATCCGTACGATCTCCCGGCATCGCGATTCGCAATGGCGGCTATCACCCGCGAGGCGCTATTCTGGTGATATAACAGAGCCATTTCCGTTTGTGGCCTAGCTACTGCCGCTTAACCCTCCATTGACGGGGTTTCGGGAAGCTAGGATGCCGACGATGGCTCAACCCAAGACGATAACTAAGCGGTTCGATATCACGTTGGTTGATATATGGGTACTATCGTCAGGGACTACCAAGAACGATTGCAACCATATGTATAATCTCCATGAGATCCTATTCGGCCGTATGTTTGTTTAGACCAAGTTGCTCCACGAATATCTAGGAACATGAATCTAGGAACATATATTAAGTTTAGTACTGTGGTCCCTCCAACCTTATGGCAACTGAATCCATCTCTAATCAGCTTATTAGATATGACGCGTGATGAGGTTCGCGTGAGGTTGTCCTAAGGGGCATGTGAGCTCGGCTACTCGAATCCTCCGAGAAGAAATCCTTTGAGCATGAGTTCTCGCAAACTTTTTTTTTTTTTTTTTTTTTGGAGCTGTTCATAGTCAAGATGAGGCAAAACGTGTAAAATTTCTCGCATCACCAACGCCTTGCTGCTTCGTGTCATATTGTTGAGTACCCGGGTTTACGACGAATGAGCCGCGCTAGTCTCCTGAAAGCCCACACAAGGTGCATCGGCAACGAAGTGTTACATCTCATCCATACCAAATTTTACACGTTTTTTTCTACTCCAGTCCCCCCTTATTCACTGATAGCCAGCCAGGTTCTTGCACGTTGCGTTTAGAGTCTCTTACTTAGCAGGAATTTTATCGCACATGGGACAATGGCCTGTTGTGTAGATAGCCGGCCATATTATATCAACCACGCCCTATTTTTCACTGTTTACCCCTCCAAGTCCAGGGGCCTGAATGGCACCACAGCAACCCCGCGGAACACTAAAGATCCCCTCACCGCCCTGTCTCCAAGGGGGTAAGGGTGAGAATATGAGGCGACCTGTTCCAATTGTAAACCAACTATATCTGCAGGCATCTTGAGTATACTCTAAACCAGGTCGTCCTGACCGCTTGAGCGCATTGAGCATACCCCAGTCCATTTTGGACCCCTATGTATGCCGTAGTTGTGCGTTCTGAGTAAGACGTAGAAACTCTCACGTGTTCTGGGGGCCTAAGAGCATCTCATTTCAGCTATTCCAGCCCTCGACTCTTATGAATTATTTCAGCACCGCAACAAAGATAGCTCCAGTTTATATCCTACTTCTCCTGGGGCCTTTATACCAAACAGTAATGGTATGCTTCACACCGCTCGTGCTGTGGATGAGCCTAATGCATCGACGTTGCAATGGGTTACTTGTTGATCTTAGGAATATACATGGGTGTGTTTTCAACAGCCCCGAACTGTAGGGGTTCTGACGAATCATATATTCACCTCTTCTATGATCTCTCTTGTTCCCAACCACGATAAAATCAGATATGCGTCTTCAAAAGAACTTTTCATGCAATCAAAATGTCCATCATGGGGCAATGCAACGCTCTGCCGCACGTTGGTTGAGCCGACCTGCTTTCCTGTCACGCCCTTGCCGTGCCTGCGCCATACCCGTGCAGATTCGCAAGCGCACATGGCACGACCCTGGCTCCCGTAGATATAGAAGTCCTAGGGTAGAATATTTATATGCAGGACGATTACCATCAATTTGACTTGGAAGATCAGTTCTCCAGCCATCAGTTAAATTCAAAGAGTTGTGTATAAGAAATCCTACTCGGATCACAGCATAACGAAATTCAAACAATTCATACCCATCCATACAATTCAGCAGAGAGATTCACGATGGCAGCACAAAAGCACAACCTCAAGTACGAACCCGAGTTCGCGGCGTTCTGGGCGAAGCTTGCCGGCGCAGGCGGAGAAATCCCAGAACAATCGCTAGAAGAACTACGTGAAGCCAACGACACTTTCATGCGTACTATGTTCGCTCAGTTCACACCGGTACCCTCCGTCATAAGGACCAAACACTCAACCAAGTCATACGACGGTGCTGAGATCGATGTCTACCGGTATGCCACCGAGGAGCAGAGGTCCAGCAAAACACCACTACCGGCGGTCCTACACATTCACGGCGGTGGTATGATGGGCGGAAGCGTCGAAATCTTCAAGCCTTACATCGAAAACCTAGTCGACAGGAGCGGTATCCAGTTCTTCGCAGTCGAGTACCGCCTTGCCCCTGAGAACCCACACCCCGCCCCTGTCGAGGACAGCTACGCGGCCCTTAAGTGGATCATTGATAACGCTGCCGAATTCAACGTCGATGCCACACGGCTCGCTGTTATGGGCGACAGCGCGGGTGCCGGTCTTTCCGCAGGTGTATCGCTACTAGCTCGCGACCGTGGCCTACAACCCCCATTGAAGAAGCAGATCCTCGTCTACCCCATGCTTGACGACAGAACCATCTTCGCCTACCACGCGCCCGAATACCAGAGCCCGCTGAAGGAGCTCGTCATCCTCAACACAAACACCCTCGTCCGCTGCTGGGAGTACCTCCTTGGCAAAGACAAAGCCGGCAAGCCCGAAGCCGATGTAAGTCCTTACGCAGCACCATCGCGAGCGAAGGACCTCAGCGGGCTACCGGCTGCGTACATCGAAGTCGGCAACCTCGACTGGTTCCGAGACGAATCGATCGACTACGCCAAGAGATTATCCGACGCACACACGGAGGTCGAACTCCACATCCTGCCAGGTGTACCTCACGGATTCGAGGTAGCCGGTGCCATCAGCACGGCCAAGAAGGCAGTGGACTTACGAGTCGACGCTATTAAGGCGATTGCTCATTAAGATGTAGTAGATAAGTAGATATAAAATACCTCGAGGAAATAAAGGGTTCATATTAAACTCTCATCTATGATTGTTTCTTACCAATCAGTTTTGATCTTACGCGCTTCATGATAAAGTGATGTGATAATACAGTGAAGTAACGTCGCAAACCAATAATTTCGTACAAACACGATGTTGGTAGAAACAAGTCAAAATCCGCCGATTGGACTCCACTCGTGATCCCCTCAGCTAACCTGGACTGCCACGTGGACACCTTGCTTCAGCATTCAAGATCCGTGTTCGTCCCACGTTGATGAATACATATGTCCAACAGCAGAATCCACAGAACCCCATAATATGTAGAAGTAGGGCACAGAAACGTGTATCAAGGGGCACAAACACATAATAATAATAATAGGTATGCAAAAATAAAAATAAAAATTAGGTCGGCAAGGTGTAATACTACGCCAAATTTAAAGAGGCACATAAGGAGAATAATAGCGAAGGGGGAAATATTATAGTAATGAAATATGCGAGTCGACGAGCAGCTAATGGCATGAGTGACTGTGGGATGAAAAAAAAAAAAAAGAGAAAAGAGAAAAAGAAAATTGAGGTTGCTAATCCCAGTTGACTGGGAAGCATCAGGAATTGAGCCCGATGCGGGGGTCGAACCTTTTAGGTGTTGTTAGCATATGGTGTAAATAATCTCATAGGAGAGAGTATTAACTTACCCGCAACCTTGAGATTAAGAGTCTCACGCTCTACCGATTGAGCTAACCGGGCGTCTGGTGGGAATTTTTGTTACATTTGCGACATATATTTCGCGCGTTGATGGAGTGGTGTGCGGAAAACTAGGAAAAGCCATAGCCAATCATGGCTTCGAGATTGAACTGGGCACCGTGTGTAGTCCGAGTCAAAAGACACTCCATGTCCTCCATGTCCTCCATGTCCTCCCCAGTATACATCGAGGTATCTTATATTAGGCATGGCATAAGAAGTGGTAAAAATTAGTTGGAAAAATCAAAGTAAGCTATTAAGGCACTAGGTAGAAGACTCGTTATGGTTAATAGCAGACGGAGAAAATAGAATAAAATTCTAGAGGCGTCAAGAAAACCAGGAGTTACATCTCCCGGGTATCATGCTTAATGCTGATCGTACTAGAGGTAATATGATATAAAATTAGGAATGAGGTAAGGTAAATAAGAATGAAACACTGAGGCTGATAAATGCAGCTATTCTAACTTAACTACCTCCTATATAAGTACCTATCTAGGCTACTCGAGGTCATCTGCTGTGACACGTTGCGTGTCTGATTCGAGGCTCAGTATCCTGCAAAACTACAGCCCCTTGCATACACAGTGCAGTAACTAATGGGCAATTATCGGGGAAGATATTTCCTATATCGGAGATAGCAGACATATTTTTATTGGATCTAAGTGTATAGGTATTCGTTGAATCAAATACAGAGTGCATCTTAACTTGCTTTCTATTCTGCAAGCCATGAATTCAACAATCTGAAAAAAAAAAAAAAAAAAAAAAAGGTACTCACCTGATACCCCGGAACTTCCATGAGTACAACGTAGCTGTAGTGTCTTTAACTTATTGATGGCTATATAGAGCTAGCCATGATATTGCTCTTCTAGGTGTCTAAACTGCGTAGTTACAATAGGTATATTGCCATCCGCAAAGCGATGTAACAATGCGTCGTTCAAAAGCCACGTGCGTACGCATCTCAAAGGGTTGGAATTGCAGAGGATATATGTTGGTTTTAAGACGGAACAACCTCCTTTCCAACTTCTCTCAGCGCCTTCACAAGCCCCTCTACGGTGCTCCTCAACGTCTGCGTGTTCACCACCACGCGAAAGAGGCTACCCTTTGGGCCGGGCGCGTAGTCCACCATGAACCCCCTCGACACAAGCTTCGCGACCATCTGACTAGTCTGTCGCGTGGTCTCCTCTTGAGCGTCTGGTAATACACCACCCGGTGCATAATAGAAGCATACCTGCAGGCATGGAGGTGGGTTACTAGAGAGAAGGTAAAAGTCACCGGACTCCTGAATTAGCGTTGCGAGGTACGCCGCAGTATCGAATGCGTGGTCAACGCGTTTCTCGATTCCCTTATCTCCGTAGTAAATCCACGCAAGAGCCAGGTTTAACGCGTCGCCACGACGACCGCACTGGAGCGTCAGGTCTGCTAGGTCCCAAATCTCGTCCTCTGCGGCTGCATCGTGGAACAGGTACCCCGCGCGCAAAGTGTTAGCGCGCTGAAAGACGGTAACGTCGTTAGTTAGAAGGAACGAGCAGGGTATGGGCACGTTGAGCATTTTGTGCGGGTTGACGGTCAGGGAGTTGGCGTGTTCTGACCCGGTTAGCTTGTGTCGCTGCGCCGTGGAGAATATGGCTGGTCCACCCCACGACGCATCGATATGCAGCCAGACGCCAAATTCCTTGCAGATAGGCGCGATCTCGGCAAATGGGTCGTAAGATCCCCAGACAGTTGTTCCAGCAGTTGCGTTGACGTAAAGGGGTGTCTTCCCCTCGTCCCTAGCACGAATAATAGCCGCACGAAGCGCTGACGGGATTATTTGTCCGGCCGAGTCTACTGATACCTTGACTACGCTGTCTGAACCGAGACCGCAAATTACAGCTGCCTTCTCAACTGAGTAATGTCCATGTTCACTGGTGAAGAGCGCAAATTGACGACCTGCGCTACCAGAAGTTTTTACTTCGGGGAACAGGGTGTTTCGGGCGATCACAAGTGAAGTCAAGTTCGAAGCACTGCCGCCTTGACAAGTAACGCCACCTGCTCTGGGACCGGTGAAACCAAAGAGATTTGCTAATTTACGTGCGGTCGTCTTTTCGATGATGGTTAAGGCTGGCGAGGTCTTCCAGACATGCACCTGAACTGAGTTAGGGATTTTGAAAAGAGTTAAAGGATAAGAGGACCTACATTGGTGTTTAGTACTGTGAGGACAAGTTCTGATATTACGCCAACCTGTTGGGTCGTGTAAGTATTTACTTGAGCTGATTCAATGCTCTTCGTGAGCAGAAGAGTGATATCTTACTGGATTTATACTGGAGTATAACTTGTCCATGAACCCCTGATCCCATGTGTTTACACTGTATCGCAGAATGGCCTGGATAGTATCTATAAGGCCTTCCTTTCCCGCCCCTTCCTCTGGTAGAGATATGCGCAGTTTCTTTACTAGATCTTCGGGTGTATGTTTATCTACCAAGATATTTCTACCTGGTGCTCCCTGAGCATCCACAGCTATAGAGCCGCTGGCTCGACCTGAAGCTGCGTTGTCTGCATCCCTAATGAATTGTATGAGGAGAGACTTTACGGCATCGAGCAACTAGTTGTGGTTTAGCCAAGTGAAACGTAAAGTGATACCAGTATAACTATAGAATAACTACACCACAGTTATGTAACTTACATCTTCAACCTCATCGGCTCTGTTGAGTTTGGATTCGTTGGCGTTGGCGTTGGCGTTGGCGTGGGTATGAGAAGACATATTTGGCGACTACGAAAGGCTCAAAAATTGATGTTGTATTAAGGTACTTGAGAGATTTTGGGCTCTTGCAGGTGAACCACATTGATAAACTCACCTATTCGATGGTGGCTTCCCGGATTTAATTATCTGATATCCAAATCTGCAGTTTTTCGGTTGCCCTTTCCGTGAAGATATCGTCTGCAAATGTAATTGCCGAGGACCCACAGTGTAGGCTGGATCCCGGGCTGCTATTCGGCGCAAGCGATCGCGTGCTCCTCGGAATTTTAGTGCAATGACTGGAAAGAAGTCTTTATATCATAAAGGTAGTAGTTAGCTCATTAGAGAAAATCGCATACTATTTTCTAGCACCCTAGACCCCTGTCTAGAGAGTCAAGGAAAAGGAAAGAAAAAAAAAAAAGAAAGAATTATTAGGTTGCATGTAATGGGGTTTATCGCCTCTTGTAATAGGTCATCATAAACCGTCTTGTTTGTTCACAGTATTCCGCCGAAGGAAATGGGTATACTTGGACAAATCCCTTTTTGATAGCCTGTGATATCACGCCAATCTCATCCTAACTCTTACAAACGCCGTAATCCCCAGGGCCTTGCCAACTGAACTCAGTTTATGCCGTGTAAGTGAGACATGTTTTTTATGTTTACTCCCCCGGAAGAAAAGGTATCATTCAATCCGTCCATCCGATGCATCGTATTCTCGTAACGCCCTTAGTCGACTCGTTTCTTGGTATCAACCGTTTCTCCCCCGTTTTGCTCGGGAGTTTTGCCATTGCTCACACCTATATCACCCTCTTCTTCGTCCTCATCCCATGCGTCCACTGCATTTTCATCCCAGTTGTCAACTTCGTCCTCAAGAGTGCTGACCCTTTCGTTTCCGGCTGCCGACATGACGCCCTCCTCTTGAGCCTCGACACTCTCGCCAAGCTCGAGATCAGTGGGCTCTTCGCCGGGAACAGCATTGTATTGCCTACGCGAACGCTTTCTCTCCAACATTCTTAAGTGATACCAGGAACATAGCCCCAACCCTGCTAAGCTGCCCACAATATTGGCGACGATATCGTAAGGATCAAACTCTCGTCCATTGGGGAGAAACCCTTGTAGAAATTCGGAGCCGATACCCAGGCCGAGGGTACATACGACGACAGTGAAATTAAGGGTACGACGGCGGTTCGTATCGATAATCCAGTAGAAGGCTATGGTCAAGAGGAAAAAAGTCAAGAGGTGTAGGACTTTATCATTGATAACGGTGTCGAGCTGCAGGGAGGAAAGCCCCGCGTAACCTGCGAGGAGGCACAGCAGGAAGAAAACTCCTATAGATTTTCTGTTAACTTAAAATCCTCGCCAGGGCCGCAATATAAAGCTTAATAAATCCACAAGAATTGCCATAGCAAGCTTCAAGAACTTCTAGAATATGGAACAACTAGAGCATGCTGTGTTAGGCAACAAAGAGAAAGCTATGAAACGGACCTGCGAAAGGTAGGCGAATGCGCATATTGGAGTCTGTAAGAGTTTAATTTAAACAGGGATAGTACGCATGTGCATGATTTCACAGAGGCGTATTGTTGGTTCTAGCAGATCGTAAAGATTTTGTGATGCTTGACGAAAAAGAAAAAAAAATGTTGCCGAACTGAAGAAGAAGAAAGCCTGGTGAGCTTCACTTCGGGTTTCCAGCGATGGAAAGTTAGACGGGATCCACTTCTTTCGTCACCCAGCTCATCGGTTACTGAAATATGTTATTCGGGGCTTGACGCAGCCCGCTTAAGTTGATTGGTACGTACGTATTAGGTAAGCGATCTAGGACTTTGCCGTGATGTACCTATGTCCCTTATGTAACCTACCTGCACCTTATTATCTGCAGCTGGCCGCCTGCCCATTACCTGGGGACAGCTAGGGACTTTGATATTCCCCACCAACTTACCTAACCTACTTATCAGATCACGTTCGGACTCTCCACACTTATGATGTCGGGGTTTCAGAATATGCAGGTTAGACAGAGCTGAGTTAGTATCTATAGGGACCTTTGGGGGAAATCTACAGAGCCTCAAATTATTGATTGTGTGCTATGTATGATGTACTTTGTGCAGTGGTATTTTCAGATCTTGAATTGGAGATTTTCTTAAGAAAATGAAAATGTGGCTGTAAGATGGTATTTTTTTTTATGATGGACGCTGACCTTTAGCCATAGTCTTTAGCACGTGACATTTGTGATTATCTAAAGATCATTCGATTGGAAATATCGCTGCTTGCGGGGGCTATGAATTGGTACATGTGATTA